TCGGCGGCCGGGGCAGCGTTCGTTTTGCAAACTGCCACATCCATGGAAGGGCTGAGAGCAAAGCCCTCGGGTGGGTGGCCCTGCGTGCAGATCCAAGTGTCATGGATCGTTTGAAATTTGTGATGTTTCCGCGGGATGTTGCTGCAATGCGAATTTTCAGTGTTGAGCTTTGTTGGATCTTCCGAAAGCCAGCCAGCAGGTGCTCGGTCTCGCGTGCCGGGCTCAAGTGATTTCACGGGGGGCCCTGTCGCAGCCCACTCGGGGGTTGGCCATGTTGCTCCTGGCATGCTTGCATGAACCGTCGGTGGGTCGTTGAGTTGATGAGGTGTGACCATGGGCTAATGTTAACCCCGGATGAGTAAACCCCTGGTTGATTTTTGGGGGTGTCCCCTTTTAATGGAGATTCATCACTTTTGGAGGGAACACCCTAATAATGGGACGGGTTTATTAATCCTGTGTCAACATGATCGGTTACAAAACGCCCTCCGGGCCTCGCGGCGTGTTTTTTCCCAAAACAAAATTGCCGAGCCCGGACTTGAGCAGCTGCTTTGCACGGGTAGGCGCTCGAATGGCCAGGCGGATTCTGATATCCATGGCGCTTCTGGCCAGTCACGGGCTCAGCAAAGGCCACTTCATGTCCCCCTCAACGACTTTGATTTATGGAAGGATTTGTGTGTGTCCTTTTGTAGGGAATCGCGATGGTTATCCTTGTGGCTTCCCTTGAAAGCCACAACAAAGGTACCCCCCCAAAAAAAGAGACTGATTTGGTCATTGCGGCGCTTGTCATTACGCGGACCAACAAACTACATCCAGAAGGAGCTAAAGAAGCGTTCCCCATTGCCAAGATGGGGAATAACAAGATGGAAAATACACCAATAAGATGGACAATCCAATTATTGATCCCAAACAAAGTAGTGACATGTCAACTAGGATCGTCTGAGTGCCAGAGGCTGGTTTCAGGCAACAGGGGTTGAAGGTGTCGAGCCGGGTTCCCCACGCCCCACCCAAAGATCCCCGAGGACGAATCAATGTCAAGGTAAGAAACAAGAGCTCAAAATTCGATTTCCGGCAAAGCCCCCCCCCCCCCCCCCCCCCATTCCCCCCTTCCCCCCCCTCCCCCCCCCCCCCAACCCCCAACCCCCGTCCCAAGACCCCGGCAGAAACGCTCCAGGTGCGGCGGCCTTCACGCCGGCCCTGCCTTCCTTGACGCCGACGGCCACCGCCAGAGCCCAGCGGAGCCAGGCGCAAGGCGAGCTCTCGCCCGGCAGCAGTGCACCGCTCGGATGAAAGCGGGGCTGGGGCCTTTCGTCCGGAGATCGGTAGCCTCAAAACCTTGCCTCAAAAACAAGTCGAAATTGAAGAGTCATCCATTTTGAAGCATTCAGTCAGTCCTTGGCTGCCATGACTTGATGTGCATCATGATGGTAGCATGTGACATTGCCGGCGGTCTTTCCTTTTTTTTTGCACGGGAGCCTGCAACTCTTGTGTTTTATGGGTGTCACACATGCATGCACACCTGCATGCCTGGATACCAACCCATATTTTTACCTGCAAATGCTGCATATCTACATAACGGCATAAACGCATACATGCATTTGTGCAGGCTTACGTACATAAATGCATACATGCATGGACCTACCTACGCACCTATCTACCGCACTTGCGTACACACATGCACATGCACATGCGCATTTGAATGTGTTCATAATTATGTACACGCGCACCTGCATCTGCATCCACGTATGCAGAAAGGCAAATGTCTATGACACACATGCATCCATCCATCCATCCATCCCATTCCATTCCACTCCATTCCATTCCATCCCATCCCATCCCTTCCCATCCCATCCCATCCCATCCCAGCCCAGCCCAGCCCAGCCCAGCCCAGCTTGGTGGGGATCGCCCGTGCGGTTCATCGTCGATCAAGGTTGCGGGTATTTGCATTCTTGTTTTGGTTTTTCCTTTTAGTTGTTGTTCTCTGGTGTGTGGGAAACCCTGATCTTTGGGACCGGGGATTGGTTTGCTTTTGGGGAACCTTTCTTTTGTGGCTTGTTTACCCCAACTTACCCTTTGCCTGGGCACCGGCTCGTGCCCGAATCACATTCATGCTTAAAGACTTAAGTACACAGACACAACCGTTTGCACGTACAGACAGACAGGCACAATCTGTTCGTTTTTTGCTCGTTTCAGGCAGCTCGGCCGGGTCCCTACCCATAACGGGTGCCGCCGCCGCTTTGGCCCTCCTGGGGGCAATGCGGCCACGCAAGAGCCAGAAGGCGCGATGGGAGCCACAGCCGAAGACAGTTCCTGCATTTTCTGCTTTGGTCCTTGAACATCACTGTTTGGGACTAGCTAGGGTGAGTTTCGCTTGGTAATATCGATGTTTCGAGCAGAAACGGCACTCTGCCGCAGAGGCCGTTTTCTGGGCTAAGGACTGCGGGCTTCCCTTGGCTCCCATGGCTTCCCTGGGCTCGAATCATTGGGCAATGTGAACTCATCACGTGAAGGGCTGGCTTCCCCTTGGCTCCGGTGTTGTTTTTTGGGAGGCGCCCCTGACGAGTGTGTTTTGTTTGGTTTGTTCGGGATTCATCCGAAGACACGAGCGGCGAGGATCGAGCATGCCAAAGATAAATAGAGTTCCCATTTGGCGAAGACAGAATGTTGTCCGCGGTTCAAGTGGAACGGTGGTCTCTACTGCTGTTGGGTTGGATTTTTAGACTTTAGCTTTTTGGAGCAACACGTCGACTTTTTGCTGGGGGATCCTTTCGCACGCTTGCGTGGCAAGGGCAAGGGATCCAAGCTCTTGCGGTTGAGAAATTCTGACTCGATGCGTGGTGAAACAAGATATGGCCATGGTTCAAAACCGTTTTGGTTGATCCCATTTTGGGATAGGTGAATTCACCACCCATTTTAGTTTACCTATTTGAGTGGGGGGATTGGTTGATGTTCACCGGGGGCTAACCGGGGTTTTGACCCATGGCCATGATCGGCCCGGGATGCTAGAGATGAGGTTCGCTAAACAAATCCTGGTAGTCTATGGTCCGTTTGCGAGGGACATGCAGGGATGGGGTTCATCAAAAACATCCCGGTCCACAAAACCTAGAGTCCTCTCAAAAAATTATCCATGTCCTTTTGGACAAAGTCATCTTGACAGCTCAGGTCATTGACAAGATGCGGTCTGAACACTGAACCGAGCAACCCTTAGCTCTCTGAGCTGGCAGAACTTGACCGCCAGGTCAGGAGTGCGCGCAAGGCGGAAGACTACGCCAAGGGTGCGGCGCTTGGGTCAGTTGCAATCGGGTCGCACAAAACAAATCCGCGGACTTGGGGGATTACAACCCCGGGTCTCTCCCTTCAGCGCCAAGGCGCGAGGCTCCAAGGCCCCATGGCCTCACTAGCCTAGTGCTCAGCAAGCAATTGGTAGCACTTTAAACCATGTTTTGCCTTGTCACTGTAGCTCGAGCAGCCATGCATGTCTTTTACAATAAAAATTGAACATCAAATGCGCTTTCCAGCAAGTTTGAGGCACCGATTCGAGGCCTTACTAAGGCATTGCCTTACCAAGGCCTTCCCAAGGCCTTAGTATGGCCTTAAACTTGTGCCTTGAGCTGTGCGCCCAGTCGCAAGCTCATGTGCATCGCTTGATGCGGTTGCCTAGCAGCTACGATGCGGTCTGTGGGTTGCTGAATTGATCACTCGCAAAAGAGGCTTCTGGGAAAAATCCCCCCCCCAGAAGCCAAGGGGAGGGGGGGAAGCAATCCATAGTGGGCCAATTGTCGGTACAGGGTTGCTTGGGGATTGAGTTTTTTTTTTGGGGGAGGCGTGGTCCTGTCGGAGTGTATGATGTCATCCCAGTTCCCTCAGTTGCCTTTCCGGGGCCGAGCTTCTTCTGGATGCGCAAACTGGGGAATCATCCCAGTGAGCCTGTGCGACTGCGCCCCATCTCAGCTTGTGGGCTATGTTCGACTCGCCTTGCCCTTTGGGAAAGAGGCTCGCTTTTTCCACGGGTGGTCATCCTTGGGCTGCTAGTGTCATATGGGGACTTCTTTTTTTTTGAGGGTACCCACTTTTTTCCTGGATTTGAAAAACCAAAAAAGAGAACCGCCATTGTACCAGGTCCCCTAGAAAAAGACGCAGCCATATACAGGGGACCAGTCGCCCGCTAGCTACGCACACCCGAGGCCAGGTGGACCCTGAGACGGGGGAGAAGAATTACGTGAACCCTTGGGAGGAGCGCCACGCACTCAGAGGTTTGGTCGACATTTCCAGCCTATCTCAGAGCTCAGTTGGCAGATTTTTTTTGGTTTCCCCAAAGCGGGGGATATGCCAGAATTTATTTTGTCTCCTGGGGGTTTTTGCTTCCTTTCCCTTTTGCCCACCACTTGGGAGCTGACTTAATAGAATGTGGCCAATAATTAGGGGACAGTTCCAGCCATACATAGATGGATATGAATCGCACAAATCGGATCTTCGCTTCTTTTTAGATATTTCCGGAGGCTTTTGTGGTGGACTCATTTTAAGAGGCGTATTTGTTCCTGTCGAATGTGAGAGAGCCACCAGAAAGTAGCAACCCTGAAAGCATGGATCAGTCTGGGAGGGGTTTGCCATCGAAACTGTCTGTGGCCATGAACACATGCCAAACGAATCACGCTTGGCGCAAATGTCACGTCACTGCACCAAGCAATGCTCAAATAACACGAACGCATCTTTTGATCACTGGTGAATTATTACATTGATTTGTGCCGCTTCTGCAACCTGCAGCTTTCACATATCCTCTCAAATGTGTTGGGTCACGTGGGCTGTGCCGTCCCCCCGACACACGACCAAAGACGTCTCGAGCAGGGTCCATCGGCACGGAAATGCGAACGCATTTTGGCCTCGTGGGATGTTCAAGATGTGCTCAGTGTTAAGCTAGGTTGTTCAAAACACTTTTGCAGAGCCCCATTCTTAGAATCGATCTTTATTCCTAATTCCAGATGCCAGTGGTGTGCCTTCTAGCGATGTGTGATATCCCTTTAAGTTCAAGCAGTGTGTAATGGCAGCAACTTGAGTAAGCGCTGGGCAAAAAGCCTGGAGTATCTTTCACTTTGCTTTTTGGCAAAGTGGTGTTGCGCCCTGCGTGCCCGTCCCCAATGGACCAAAACACGAAAACCCCGCGCCGCAGCGGGCGGGCGAGCCGAGGCATCGACGGCCAGGAGGACATGAAGGACGACGCGCGGCCTTTCGGGAAGAAGTCTGGGGCCCCAAGCCGCCGAGAAGCCGAGAAACCGAACCGCAGGTGGCGAGGAGGAACTCAACTCGGGTTGCCCGGGTGGAGGGGCTAGTGCGGTTTTTCTTTTCTTTTTTGTAATCTATTTTAGTTTTCGAAGATTGGGGAGATTATCCTACAAGCAAGCCTTTACAAATACTGGCAAGCTGACATACTTCCAAAGGTGTCTTGTAATTAGGTCAGTTTGGTACCATAGATCCCAGAGCGGTTTGGTTTTCCAGTTGCACAACGTGTTTGTTTTCTTGACGTGTCCTCTTTTCGGATCCCGGGCTGAGTGGTGAATTCCCCAAGTTTTTCACACAGACGCCTGAAAAGTGGCAAGGTCGAAGGCCAACATGTTTCCTGGGAAGGCATGAATCGCCTAAACCTCAAACACATATGGCAATTCGGAAGGTCTGGCTGTTTCTGCCATTCGGGCCAGTTCCCTGTTCCCTCACGGCTCTGTCTCCTGTCTTTCGGACGTATGGGGCGACCTTCGCAGGTTTCACCCCTATACCGGCGATGTCTACAAGAAGGTGCCGGTGGTGTCAGGCGTGCGGCCTTTTTTCGTGGGCCTTACGGAAATGGGCAAGAGCCCAATGAGAGATAGCACTCAGATATGCTCAGGTTCATCTGGGTCGAAATTCCCTCGCGGGCGCTTTCAAGGAAAGGAAGGCGAGCCGAGGTGGAAGGCGAGCAACAAGAATCGCCCGGCAACCAGCCCGTTCTGTTTTTGTTTTTTGTCTTTTTTGCTGGCAGGTCCGACCTTCCATGCCAGTCCGGTTTGAGGGTCACCTCAAACGGAAAGCGAGTCGGCCAGGCCCAGATGGAAGTGCTTTGCAATTTCCGCTGGACCCCAGTGTCTACTACCCGCCGCTGGAGCCTCCAAAGCCGGGCGTGAAGTGGGGCTCGGCGCCGAGCACCAAAAGGGGGGGGGGTTTGGATGCGGCCGTCCTTCTCCTGTGTCCTGGTTGAATGAATTCTTGGGCTCTCTGCAAGGAGGGAATTTCCCATGGGGCCGCAAAAGAGTTGGACACATCAGCAAGCTATGGGTCCAGCAGTTGTGCTGCACACGAATCAAATCACCTTCCTTCTTTTTAGAGTTCTCTATATTTTCCTGGCTCTGGTCGAATCTTGAAGAGAGCACGGATGCTGCGGGAAGAATCCTCTGGTCAGTAACAGAACGCCGATCCCACCAATGATTGCCCAGATCCCAGGATGCCCCGCCTCGTGAAAAGGCAATCCTCACCCTTTAGCTCGCTCGAGAGCTTTTGTTGATCCGCTACATCCAAGTAAAGAGCAACGGAAGCCAAGTAGTGCACCGTGCCTTTGTGCTTAGCTTATCTTCAACCTCCATGGGTTGTGCAGGTTCAGCCCTTCACTCGCCTCGCCGCATTGAGGCGACGGCCGCGCGCCGGATGGCAACTGGTACATGGAGGTGGACGACCAGCAGATTCAGTGCCGCCCTGAACCTCCCCTGCCCGAAGTGGGGTTCAGGTTTCAGACGCCCACCTCTCGGGAATATTCCATTATCGTCTGGATACCTTCCGCTACAGGGGCACCACCCCACCCGATTTAAAATCTATCCTCCGCCAGGTTTATTGAACCGGGGTCAACGTTCAGCATCAAACCTGGGCTTTGCCGTAATTTCGCCCACACAAAAACGTGAGCGTTGCCATTTTTCGGACGGTCTGCCCTCCGGTCAAGCCCAGGATTTTCCACAGGCGCATGAGCTTCGAATGAAAGCGGTGCTTGGGATCGCCTTCGGGCGCTGAAACCCCCACAGTCCAAATTTTAGAAGGCGACGACCTCTTGTTTCTTGAACCAAACGGGTTCTCTGGGTACTCGCGACGGCTCGCTCGCCGAGGTACTGGCAGGGAGTTGGCAAGCGTAAGACAGCCTGCCGGCATCCCAGCTGGAGGGCTGGCAGGTTTTGGGAGAACTGGGCATGGGATGGATTTGATGGGTCGGCATGCGGATCGACTTTGCGACTGCGCACACATTCGGCATTTGTTTTAAATACAACACATCATACGTATTTATATATATATATATACACACATTTTAAACATAAACAAACAACCCAATGGTTTTTATAACACTCCAACCGTGGTGAAGCTACGGGCGGGTTTTTGCGTCCACTTGCCGGAAGCCGGAAGGCGCTATTGTGCGGATCGTGAAGGGCAACGGGCAGTTCATTGTGAACGGCAGGGACGCGCGCTGGCAGCAATGGAAGGATGAGGTCAAACATCTGTTTTTTTTTTTTTCCCGGACCCCCTTTTCCGGGCCCCTAAATGGCCCAAGAATCGACTGACCCCCTTGTCATTTTTGCCAAAACCTTCGGACCCGAAAATCGGACGGAGGGTTGAGCGGACCCGGGGGAATCGAAGCGGAAATTTGACCTCAGAAGGCTCCTTTTTGAGCTCCCGCGAGAGGTCGGCGCGCGCGTCGGGGGATTTTTTTTCTTTTTGGGGGTACCCTTTTGGGCGTTGGAGAAAAAAGGGACACCAATTTGACAACCCCGAGTTTGAGACATGGGCCAGACTCTCAGCGTTGTATTTCTTTTGGTGTAGCTCAAGGAGGCTTGCATTGGTACTGGCTGACCTGCATCAAAACCAGAGCCTGCGATGTGGCACCCGCACTCGTTTTGCGTTGACCACTGACGGATTTTCGAGCCACACCTTTTCGGCTCCTTACATGCTTCTGGATAGACGATTTTAATACCAGATTTTGATTACGACTCCCCTAATCAAGTAGTCCCTGCACTGGCCAAGAAAGTGTCGGACACACCTTGCCTCGGCAACGGTGGAGACGTTGGCTGCTATGCTTTAGGCACACGCTTTCACTGGCTCGGAAAAAAATAACTAGGGTTTCATTGCTCAGGGGTCAAAAATGATACTGACACCTCAAGGAAAGTTACGTGCGTAGTGCCGAACTCCGGGACCTCTTTTTGGACTTGGTTTTAAGATACAGACATGAAGCCAGTTCCCATACGGCACCTGCATGCTGCCAACTCCCCTTGTTGATATCGTGGTCCTCCATCTCCTGGCAGCACGGCCATTCCATTTTACTTTCCGCCCGTGGGACCTCAGTTGGGCTGATTCGGCAGCCTGATTCAACGAGGCCTCCCGCGAAGCTCCGGGATTGTCGCCCGTCTTTGGACTTTTCTGGAGCCTTGCACCTTTTGGCCTTGTGGCTTCCTGTTCGTCTCAAGCCTTCGCTTTCGGGCGGACGTGCTTCACCTTTTCGGGCTCAGGCGATCCAGTTCTTCAACAACTACCCCATCTGGTGGCTGAAGGCAAAGGGATTTAGCGAGCGCCGCGAAAGACCTTCTTTGCCATCGCCGATGTGAACCAAAAGGAGGAGCGTGGCCTTTTGTGGGGCCACAGGGTCCCTCTCTTAGTAAAATGTTTGAGGGGAAGTCAGAAGGATCACCATCTTCGGACACACCCAGACGTCTGAGAGGGACGCGGCCGGAGGTATGTTTGGTTACGATGGATGCCAGCTTGCGTCTTGCACCACCCAACCCCCGGTTTGCGTGTGTTCGCTGTGCGGATGGCCTTGCAACAAACGTTCAAGCCTCACCAGGATTGCTAGCAGACCCCTTGCGCTCTGTTCGAACCAATGGCAATGTCACATGAGCCACAATCAAAACCCGGGTAGATGAAGGTTAGTAAGGGACGATCCCAACCTTAAATAGCTGCGGCCGCCTTCTTAATCCTGTACATGGTTCTCGGTAGACCATTTTAGTACCAGGTTTTGATTGCGACTCACATTGACTTCACTTCAGCACAAGGTTTCCGCAAAGCGCCGCCAGGCAACTTTGCAGAGCATGCCTTGAAACTCCAGCTTTCTCAAATGTGAGTGTTTTCTTTTGAGGGTACCTTTTTTTAGGTTGGTAAGGGAAACTACTCGTAAAAGGAAGCATACTTTTTGGGGGCTCCCATGTTTTGACACACACACACACATACAAAAATAAATACTACTTTCAATTTGTGCGGAATTTGTCCTTAACTTCCGCCCATTCATAAGAATCCATCAGGATATTGAGCTTTAAACCATTTGTAGGGCGTCCAAGTTGAATGACCATTTAGTTCCAGCCATTTAGAAGGCAAGCTTCAAACAAGTTGACAGATTCCTTCCACATTGCAAGGGCCTGTGGTTGAATTCCTAATCCGCTTTCAAAAGTGTGACCCTTTTTCAAAAGGATCAGGTTGGACATTCCCTTAGCAAGACTAAACGCATCCAGCGGTCTAGTGTTTCTGCTAAAGATGTCTCCCAGGAAAAGACGATTTTATCCTTGCGCAATTGCAGCGGCATCTCTCCTAGTTGCCGCTCTTGCAAGACTTTTTCGCTGCCAGCAGCACTTTTGCAAGGTAACAAATCTTACCGGGTCCTTGGCAGTGCAGAGATTTCCCGTAGCTGATATCTACGGGAACGCTTTTGCGACAATACGTTGTGATATTTTTATTATATCATCAAATGCATTGTCATGATATGCACTGTGGGCTTGTGAGTGTGATGTAATATCGTGTAGTGCACTGTGTGGCGCTGAAGCGCAGGAGTCAAATACGGTCATCCCATGTCATGCCGTTTTTGCCCATCTAATATTATGTGTAATGAATAAATGCATGTGTATACATTACCCTCAGTGCCATTCACGCCCCTTGCGGAAGTGGGGCACGAGCTTTTCTACTCCTTTGCCGTTGGCTCTAAGCTTGCTAGATCATTGGCTAGACCTGCGGGTCGGTTTGGGTGGCTTGCGAGCTGGAGAGGCCTCTTGTGAGGGAGGCCTACAAAGAACAAGAAGGGCTGCGGCCCAGATAAACTGGAATTGGAGAGAGACGGGCAAAGTTCCCAAAAGGTGGGCTGCGGCCTGGTGGAGCCTTGATGCCGGGGCCATGGTTCAGTGGTCCTGGAAATCCTGAGTTCCTGAGTGAGTTAAGCTTTGAAGAAGGTGACTTGTGGGAAGCCCAAGTTCGAGATGACACGGGGGACTCGCAGGGGACCGTCCTTCTGGAAGTACAGCGAAAAGGGGCCTCGCGGGGCGGTAAAAGTTGGTTCCAAGCCAGAGTTTGGTCAGCCTCGGACGAATACCTGCGTTGGTGGCTGAGCAACGACAGCAAGGCCGCAAAGAGGGATGACTTCAAGTTCCACGTTTGCGGAGTGGCTTCGAGCACATGTCGGGAAAACCAAGGGTCACCTGATTTGGAGTTTCACACAGATTGCCTCCGACATATATCATATCGCAAGGCGATGTGACTGAGAGCAAGATTGCGTGGCTGGCCAAACCCGAGCAACAAGCTGCGGTTGGTGAGCTTGTCAAGAGATGGGAAGCTGGAGGCGGATGCGCGAAGCGAGACCAAGGGCGGATGGATGAGCCCGAGATGGAGTGGAAGACGGACTTCCCCGGGTTGCCTGGCCCTGGTCAAGCACCCCCTCCGGGTGAAGATGTGAGGCCGCAGCTTGAGATTCTTGCCGCGGATCTTGCAGGGAAAGGCAAAGGTGGAGTTGGGCAGCAGCAGAAAGATGAACGCGGACCGAAGGACCAGAAGAAGGTGCAAGAAGGACGAGGCAATCCGCCTAAGTGGTTTGGAGAAGCGAAAGACGGACAAGATGGCAGGAGGCGTCGGCCTGCGGACCGGAAAGGGCGCCGAGATGATCGGGGCCGTTCCCATCGGCGCAAGAGGTCGAAAGCCAAAGCAGGTCTAGAACCCGAAGCCGGCGGAGGAAAGCAACGCGCCGCAGTGACCGAGGGCCTTTTGGAGTTGGTCGAGAAGTTCACTACGGTGACTCGGGAGGATCTTCAAGTTCTGAGTCGGGTTTTCGCGAGGGGGCCCCTTCAAGAGCAAAGTCTCAACAGCTACAGCTGGTGGAGTACTCAAATGCTCACCCGGGCGGTTAGCATCCCGCTTGCTTCAGGGGCGGACCCCGCCCAAGTCGGGCCCGGAAACCCAACTCCAGCAGAGCAGTGGCCTTGAACTGGGTCACCGCGGTGTTCATGGCGGAGATGAAAACCATCGCCAGGGCCCTCGACTTGGTGGCCAACGGTCAGGCCGTGCGCGCGGGGGACGTGCTGGCTCAGCGACCCAAGCTTTGGAACTCCAGTTGACGGACCAGGGCTGGCAGCGGGCCCAGTTCCTAGAGTTGGTGGAGCCCGAGGGACCATCGCTAATCGGCAGGGACGAGGCCGTCATGACCTCGAAGGAGCTGGATGCCGAGATGAAGGTGAGTCGGTGGCAGAACAATCGCGTGGATCAGTGGCAGCAAGAACGGCCCGAGAAGGGCAAAGGGAAGGAAAAAAAGGCAAGGCGAAGGACAAGAAGGGCAAGAGCAAAAGAAAGGCAGAGGAGGAGCAGCATGCCTAAGCGACTTGGAGAGCAAGGCCTGGGCAAGGTACGCATTGAACCAGGTGGACTCCCTGATTCCGCCGCTGGGTGAGTCTGATGAGGAAACCGGAGAAAGTGTTGCTCTGTCCAGAGAAGTGGCAAAGATGTTCAAAGAGCATGGATCGCTTCGCGACTGGCAAGTCGGCATGAGGAAGGTCGGTGTTGGATTTTGAGTACTGCGCGGGGTGGACCGAGCCAGTGTGCGTTCCGATCAAGGCGGGCCTCAACCCTGCACAGGTGACGGCCGTGGCTCACATTGCGGAGGTAGTCAACAGGACCCTGATAGGACTAGGGAACGTTCCGCCTTACGCGAAGGCGACGGCCGACCTTTGCAGCAAACAGTTCGACTACGCTGGAAACCCGGTGGAGTACATCAGGGACACACAAGCCGACTTGGTTTTGAAAGCTTGGCCGAAGCCGGGCTTTGCCGCCGTGGTCGATTTGGTACACTGCCTTCCACCTGAGCTGGGCGAGCAGATTCAGGACTTGGGGAGGTTTGTGCTCCCCCTCTCAGAGCGGCCAGCCCGGCCTTGACTCTCTCGGGTCAGAGCGTCAGATGACGAGTGGTTCAAGGTGTGCAAGGCTGCGTGGGAGCGCGGCATGATGTCGGCCGTGAAGAATTCAGACATCCCCAAGGATGCAAATGGTCACTACATCACAAATGGCGCTGGAGCTGTGCGGAAGGAAAAGACCGTTGACGGGAAGTTGATTGCTTCCCAGCGGTTCATCTCAATCATGTGCCCTGTGAATGAGATTTTGCAGCTCTTGCCGGGTTCACAGGATCGGCTGCCTTATATCTCCCAGCTGGCTGGTGTGCTGTGTGGACCAGATGAGTATTTGGTGGTTGATTCTGAAGACTTGGAAAGCGCCTTTAACCTTTCTGGGTTCCCTTCTTTGCTTACTCTAAGAAGGTGCGAGGCGACGCCCTGGGAGGATCAAAGGCGGAGTGGGTGCGCCCAGGGCTATGTGTTCTTCCGATGGGGCGGAGCTCGGCAGTGACTCTAGCCCAGGCGGCCATTCGTCATCTCACCTACACCATTGCAGGGATCTCGAGCTCAGGAGATGTTACAAAGGACAGACCTCTCCCTGCGGAAAATGACTTGACTGTTCTCTACTTGGATAATTTTGATGAGATCGCATTTTGCGGAAGGACCTGGCGGATGCTGAGAATGATGCTTCTCCGAACCATTTGAAGTTCATCAAAGCTTGTGACTCTCTTGGTCTGCCGCGTAACTCTTCGAAGCAAGTCATGGGCTCTTTCTCTGCGTGTTTACAAGGTGGAGAAGTTGATGGCTGGAACGGAGTGTTGAAGCACGGGTCTGACAAGACGAAGAAGTTTATGGGGCTTGGACTGGCCTTGTTGGCCCAAGATTCTTGGGGAGAATTTTCGCTTAGACATTGGGCAGGCAAGGCGGGCTTCATTTGCGCCTTCCAGCGACCTTATGCTTTGCGCCAGGAAGTCTTTCGAGCAATCGCCACCGCTGAATCTTCGACAAAAGTGGCGCCCTACAACGGAGCTGTGGACGAGGTGATGAGCATGGTGGCGTTGTGCGCATTTGGCGAGACCAACATGAGGGCGGCCATCAGCCAGCAAATCTCGTGCACTGATGCATCCCCAACTGGCGGCGGGTCAGGGATTTCCGCCGTGTTCAAGTCCAAAGGGATGATACCCCCGACCCTTTGCCGCAAAAGTCTGCCTGTGGAACTTGCGGGAGTGCACAGGTCGGAGATGTGCCAGTCTCAAACCTGCCATGTCCCCGAGTCATTTTGCTGCCTGCAATGTGTACGGTCTCATGAAGCGCATTGCAGCCGGCGTGACTGGACTTGTCCTCTCTTTGGCGAGCGCTTCTGTGGTCCCAGGTGTCTCTTGACTCGAGCAGTGGCCATGGAGGGGATTCAAACACAAGTGGGGCTCGACAAGCTCAATGAGGAGTTGGAGTGGGACTTTGTCAGAGGCAGGCAAAGCAGTGCTGGAGGAGTGTGAAGAGGCTCCAAACCTACAACACTCCCACTTCTCAACAGCAAGGGGAAAGCCCATTTGGCTGAGTGATGGGAGCTGGACCTATGGGCCTAACGCGGTAAGGTCCAAGGAGCACCCTGAAGGCTTCCCTTACTTGAACTCTCACGATCAAGTCCTGGTGCGCCGGGGAAATGCGATGGCGAAGAGGTGCCTGAAGAGCCTGGAAAGAAAAAGGTGGGCGTCCTTGGAACATCCTTGGGACTCGTATCTATGGGATTTGGAGGAGGCGCAGTTCCTCAAAGATGAGAACTGGTACTGCTCTGAATTTTCGATGTGCTGCCACGGGGGCAGAACAGTACGATGGACTTGCCTGGTTCACAACCTGAGGGAGCTTCACGAAGAGCTCCATCGGCCTGAGTGTCCAGGGCATAAAGGAGTGCTGCCTTACGAAGTACATGATGACCTGGCGCGTCACCGTCTGCGTGACCCTGCCGAAGAGGCGGAATACCCGTTGAAGTTCTGCCAAAGATTTGCTCGGGGCCTCAGACGAGCAATTGATCGCGCTTATGCGCCGCCCGTGGGAGAGTTACGCAGAGACTATGACACTGTGCTGTTAGCGCAAATCAAGGGCGCAACTCGCGGTTTGCAAGATGCGGATTTTGCCATGGACATGGTGCTGAAGGTTCAGCACGTGCTGGAAACTATGAACCAGGGACAAGAGTCTGAACATTTGCAGTGGTTGCTTCGGCATGCGCAGCACACCGGAACGGAGACCAGGCTCACCAACAAAGGTCCGGAGTTCACGGGGGACAGGCCAGTGGCATACCCTGCCTTCAGATGGCTTTGGCGTGAAGTGACTTCTTACAAGTGGAAAGTGCCGAATCACATCAATATTCTCGAGTTGCATGCGTATTTCAATGAGATCCGGAGGCGTGCTCGTATTCCCGATGAGCACCACAAGAGATTTTTCAACGTGGTTGACAGCTTGGTTACTTCTTACATCATGGGGAAGGGGCGGTCCAGCAGTGTCCGTCTCAACCGCGTGGCCCGAAGGATTTGTGCGGTGCTCCTGGCAGCTGACATGCTGCCTTTGACTTTGTGGACCCTTAGTAAATGGAACTTTGCTGATGCCCCGAGCCGCAAATAAAAAGCATCTGCGGTATCATGGAGTCTCCGCGCGCACTCTCCGGGCCTACAAGCAAGCTGTCAACCGATTCTTTTTGTTTTGCCGGGCAACCTTTGGTGAATTGCCCCCCTCTTTCGAGCAACTTGACTACCAGTTGAGCGAGTTCATTAACGAGCCTTTCCAAGAAGGAGATACCTTGTCCTTGGCTGGATGGACTATTGATGGACTATTTCTGGACTGAAGCGTTTTTTCCCCAGGTGTAAGCCGCAGCTACTCACAGCCCAACAGTTGTACCGTTCGCACGTTCCACAAAGAGCCACGCCTTGTTCTTGGTTGATGGTAAGAGCAATGGCTGGAGCCGCGGCTCAGGTGGGACGTTGGGATTTGGCCACTTTGCTCTTCTTGGGATATTGCTTTTTCTTGCGTACTTCGGAGATGTTGCGACTGGAGGTAAGGCAGGTGCGCGTCTCTACTTTGCATGGAACTATCGTCATTGCGCTTGTCGAGACCAAATCTACTGGTTTTATTCCTTCAAGTCTCTCGGTGCATGATAGAGGGCTTGCCAAAGTTTTGCATGGCTGCTTGAGGCGGTTACCTTCGGGTGGTCGGGTGTTCCCATCTCACCCAGCTGCTTTTCGAAATGCCTTCCAGTCTTTGGTGAGTTTTGTTGGAGCTGGTCAACAAGGGTACCAGCCTTACAGCTTGCGCCGTGGTGGGGCGACCCACTACTATCAACAGTCTGGAAGCCTGAGCAAAACTGTCCTCAGAGGAAGATGGAAAGATGCCAACACTTGTCGCTTGTATGTCGATGAAGCTAGGGCAACGATGATCCAAATGTCCCTGCCTTGTTCGGTGGCGCGTTTGCAATGCCAACTGGCTGCCTTTTGGAACGAGTAGCTTTGCCAACGGCGCTCACTCTTCTGTTGGGGTTGCTTTCCAACGCAGGGCATTCACTGTGTTTGGGTAGTTGCGCCTGTCAGCCGCGGCTGGGATATCTCAGGTGGGGAATCTTTCAATCAATTGCTTTTGAGTTTGACAGACGCCGAACTGCGTACCTGTCTGTTGCTTTGGCGCTGCTTAGCCTTTGAACACGCTGAGTAGCGCAACTGATCTTCATTGGCTTGTCTGGGGTAAGATGAAAACGGCGTGAGGAGTTGAATACCCTCAGTGCCATTCACGCCCCTTGCGGAAGTGGGGCACGAGCTTTTCTACTCCTTTGCCGTTGGCTCTAAGCTTGCCCTCCCTCCCACCCGGTGCTAAGTGCGCCTGTCAGCCGCGGCTGGGATAACTCAGGTGGGGAATCTTTCAACCAATTGCTTTTGAGTTTGACAGACGCCGAACTGCGTACCTGTCTGTTGCTTTGGCGCTGCTTAGCCTTTGAACACGCTGAGTAGCGCAACTGATCTTCATTGGCTTGTCTGGGGTAAGATGAAAACGGCGTGAGGAGTTGAATACCCTCAGTGCCATTCACGCCCCTTGCGGAAGTGGGGCACGAGCTTTTCTACTCCTTTGCCGTTGGCTCTAAGCTTGCCCTCCCTCCCACCCGGTGCTAAGTGCGCCTGTCAGCCGCGGCTGGGATAACTCAGGTGGGGAATCTTTCAACCAATTGATTTTGAGTTTGACAGACGCCGAACTGCGTACCTGTCTGTTGCTTTGGCGCTGCTTAGCCTTTGAACACGCTGAGTAGCGCAACTGATCTTCATTGGCTTGTCTGGGGTAAGATGAAAACGGCGTGAGGAGTTGAAAATTATATGCATATTTTTCTTGACCATGCCTAGTATATATATATATATGTATACACGTCTTTCTCTCTATGTATATACTATATGTATACACATATATGTATATATACATGCAATTACACATGGATCGACACAACATACACACAAACATAAACATGTATTGACAAAGATCAAAGCCCAACTGCTTCTTTGATCCAGCAGTTCCGCCATTTTTGTTCTCCTGTTTTGGTTCCTGTTGAAGGCGTGCGAGCCCCTGTCGGCTCTGTCTGAGAAGAACTCGCGGGGCGCTGAGACGGGCAAGCTGGGCAATGGAAACCCGGGGTAAGGTTCGAGAGGGAGTGGCCGGGCTGGAAGCCTACAAATGAACATGGAACCCAGCAGGCATGGCTTAAGCAAGTGTACCAACATGGCACCTTGGTAATTGGAACCAAAGACTAAAACCCGCGTAACCCTAGCTGTTTAATTTTGGGCCACACCCAGAAAGGCGGTCCATCTTTGCCAAAAGGAGTTTCCTCTAAGCCTCTGAGACTAGGTTTTCGTGTTTGTTCGTAGGGTAAGTCGGACTGTGATCCTCGTTTTTTTTTGGGATTCTTCTGGCTTTGAGGGATTTCTTCGGCACCGATGGGTTTGTATTGTGACTCCGATCGGTATCTGAGATGCAGGGGTCTCGGGGGAGTGGGATAAACAGCGACTGTGTAGCCAAATTGAAGGGTATATAGCGGCTATGGCGCTGCATGTTCTGACTCGGTTTCCTATGGGAGAAACCGGAAATATAGTAGAACCCCCTGGTTTTCACATTTTGGGGGCTGGTGTCGTGGAGTGGAACTCGCTCTGGTAGTTTGACCGCGGTATTAGTCCGCCTGGATGAATAGGCGCAACCATTTTCTTTTTTTTTGGATTTCCCTCTGGAATGGGACACCCGCAACTAGCATCAACATGTTTTTTTCCACCCTGGGCTCTCATTGGTCGAGCAGAGGACAGTCCCAACCACGAAGAGCAAAGAGGTGCAGCGTTCCGCCCGTCTAGTAGATATTGTTTCCTTGAACTGAGACCAGTTTTGGATTCTGGCGCACCTTGGCCACACAGGCCCTTCCTTGAAAAACCGAAGGAAGGACACAGAGGGAGGGTTTGGGGTCGTCTGGATTTCTTGCTGCTTGGTGTAGACAGCTGCCGGCGGGTGGCTGAACATTTTGTTGATGGATGCCCCCGCCCAGCGCTGATGTTTGTGTCTCTTGCCCAAAGCTCAACACTCCTGGCATGCGAAATTCAACAACCCATATTGAGTCAGCCATGAATCCTGCTATGCGGTCTTTTTTTTGAGGCTCCCCCTGCTTTGTGGCCTTTAAAGGGAAAAAACAACACGAGGAGCACCGGTTGCGAGCCATTTTTGGGGCTCCCAGAGAGACGGAGCCGCTGGCCAGGTTCGACATCATCGCCAAGAGCTTCGGCGGGGGCGTGAGCGGCCAGGCGGGCGCCATCCGCCTGGCGCTGGCGCGGGCGATGCAGGAGTACAACTTCAACTGGAGGCGATTTGTTTTCTTCGCCTTTTCTCGTTTTTTTTTTTTTTCTCGCGGGGGGGGAGGGTTTGGGGGTTTGGGGGGGGAAGGGGGGAGGCGAAATTTTATCTTTTCTCTTCTCTCGCGCGGTCGTTTTTTTTTTTTTGCCCCGCCGGGGGAAGGAGGGGGTGGCTTGGAAAGGGGGGGGAGGGCGAACACTGTTCTCGCGCAGCCCGTTATATTTTTTTTTGTCGCGCGGTCAGGCGCGGTCAGGCGGTCAGGCGGTCAGGGGGTTTGGGGGTTTGGGAGTTTCGGGGGTGGGGGAAAGGGGGTGGGGGAAAGGGGCTGGGGGAAAGGGGGTGGGGGAAAGGGGGGTCGATGGAACGCACAGGTGTTGGCCCCCGCGATTTTGTTTTGGGAGCAGTTTTCTCAAATCGGCGCGCTTGAGAGGGGTCCATGTGTTCGCGGGGCGTGGGGGTGGTTTCCAGGGGTGGTTGGGGATGGGGCCGCGGAAAAAAACTTGTAGCAAACCTTGAGGGGAGGCTTGAGGAACTGGCAACTTGAGTTCAAAATTAAAGGTACCATGTTGCCTGAAGTGTCAAGTTAACTGCCATCACCCCCCCGGCCACTTGTCGTGCATATGGACGGCAAGCGGCTCAATTCACTGCTGGTTTTAAGAGCCATCACAAGACCCCTTCTGCATTTTCGAACACCCAGCACCCACCCCTCACCTTGGTGTGGCTCAAAATGTAGGAGGTGGGGTTACGCATGTTGGTCTTTGTTTCCATCGGGGCCCAAGAAAATTGGTGCCACTTTCTTGAGCGGCCAGTCAGAGTCCGCCTTGCCCCCCCCCCCCCCCCAGCCCGGTGCCGGGTGCCGAGGCCGTTGTTGAAGAAGGCCAAGTACCTGACCCGCGATTGGCGCATGGTGGAGCCCAAGAAGACTGGTCAGCCCAAGGCATTCGGGCATTCGAGGGGAGGTCCTTCTGGGCTCCATGAGAGTGGGGTGCACATAAATCGCAGCCTAGATGATGTCCAGCAGATGGTCCCCGATTGACATTCACAACCATGTGTGGGTGTGTATATCTGTGTGTGTGTATCCTGGGCATTGTTGGCGCTGCACTTTTCGGGCGGGCGCAGGGTAGCATGTTGGCGGCGTCCCCGCTGTGCATAACCCTGAAGAGGGATCTCTAGATTTGGGACGGCTTTGTGCTGGTTCTAGCCACCTGGGGTGTTGAGATGACAGAATCAGATCCCTTTGAAGGACACGACGAGAACCACTTCGGGGTCATTCCGCCTAGACTGAACTTGGACCCGGCAGGCCCGCAAGAAGACGCCCTACCACAAGCGCTGAGCGACACGTCACAGAGATGTTGTTTCTGGTTCGTTGGAGCGAATTGCCAGTGCTTGGTCCAGTTTGGTTGTCCATTTCGGGTGTCATTTGCTTTCCTCTTGGTCCTTTCTCCACTCTGTGCATTGCGCATATCGGTGCGACCGGCCGAAAAGGATCATGCAGGAGGGGGGTCTGCCAGGTGATTTCGCAGTTCAGCCATAGGCGGATTGGTCCAGCATTTTTGCTTTTTGCCTGTCAGTTACCGTGGATGGACAAAATCCTGCAGTTAATTCAGGTTTCATCCATCCCTGATGAAGGATTTTGTGCACCCACAGTATTGGTTTGAATTGCTGTCACTGGTCAGCGCAAACCCTCTCTGTTGGAATCAAGGGTGAAGTCCAAAGGGAGGGGGAAGCCCAAGCTGCCTGATTTCCACTATGTTTCCCTCGGCCCTCCAAATAGCCGGCGCTTTTACCCCGGATTTGGGGCAAGTTGTTGGCAGAAATCCTTTTGCCAGGTTTTTGAGGCACAGGAAGTGGGAGACAGGATGAACTCAAGGGATAACAGCCCGAAAGCCTCTGGTTCGCTCTAGTTGGTTTCCCAGGGACACTTCAGCCATCTGTGTGAGGCTGGCGCTTGATCAATCTTCGGCCCCAAATGACCATGCTTGACTTCCCACTGGTTGGAAAGAACCATCTTGGTTGGTGGTTCCCCCCTGAATCCTCACATGAGGACCCAAAGATCATGTGCAACCATCAAACAAAAAGGGAAACGCCTCTGATTCTGGAGCGGACGCTATCTGCTTAGGGCAAAAAGGCGCAACATCGCTTTCCAGTAGTGCAAGTTGGAAACCGTGTGCGTCCCATGAATGAGGGACGCGTGAAAACTCGAATCCCTACAAGTGATCGGAGTCCCAAGGAAGCACCAAAAAGGCGTACAGCCTTGACATAGAGCCAGTTTTCTGGTTGCTTTGTCTGGCATCCCGAGTTTAGGCTGTGTTTTTATGGCTCTTTCCAGGTCACTCCATGGCGTTTTTTTTTTTTTTTTTTTTTTTTCCAGGTCCGCCCTTTTCGGCCCGTCCGCTTCTGGGACTCCGGTCTTGGCATTGCTCCAGCTTGGCACCCCCCGAAAGCAAACCCAGCGTTGAAGCGATCGGGTGGATTCAGAGCTGAGCCTTTTATGGGTTGGGAAGCTGAAACCGAGCAAAGAACTGAGAGAGCCGGAGTCAGTCCGGTTGCTAGCCTTCTTGCAAGCGACCCAAAGAAAAAGCTCACAACTCAGCCAACCAACCGCCCAAAGCCCCCAACTAACACCCCAACCGCTCGCCCCCAACTAGCACCTCAACCAGCCCTCAGCCAACCCCCAACTAACACATCAGCCGCCCTCGCCAACTACCAGCACCCCAGCCAACGTTCAGCCAAGCCTAAGCAACCCTCCAACCAATCAGCGCCTGGCGTCTGACTGAGACGCCAACTACCAGCACCCCAGCCAACGTTCAGCCAAGCCTAAGCAACCCTCCAACCAATCAGCGCCTGGCGTCTGACTGAGACGGCTGCAGATGGCACGACCAAGGCCGCAATCGATCGATCGATCGAAGGGGCCATGCGTTTCCGATGTAACACATGTCAGCTGCCGACGCAGGGGGGGTACGCTCGTCTCTTTGAAAGAAACTCGCCGTTAAATGCGATCCGCCATAGAATGCTAAGCGGCTTCCAAAAAGAACCCAAACTATTTGACCATCTGACACAAGTGGGTGCTTCCCAAAATCTGGATCCCCTTTTTGTTGGGTAAGAGTGAAGGTTGGAGTCAACTATAGCGTGAACTTTATTCAATTGGATAAAAACAATCAGTGATTTCTTTTTGGATAATTATCCATGCTTGGCTTCCGGCCATACTGTTGATTTGTTTTCTTGTATAGTTGGGTGGTTGGGGGTGGTTCCCTTGAGGGTCCTTAACATGATGCTGGGAACAGTCATGACAACAATATGGGTTTGTCTCAAAATGGTGGGCCCAAATACCGCCAACTGAACAAATCATCGTGGATGTCGCTTTTCCTTCTCAAGGACTGCTTCATTGGGGGGGGGGGGTCCTTGGATCCGCCCAACGTTTTGGTGACTCGGGATGTGCCGCGCCCGATGTCCCGCCAATTTCAGATCCCTTTCTTGGAACTCAGGTCTTGGGATTCGTAACGAAGAACTCAGATGGTTGCCACCGTTTCTTGCGTCACCCGCTGAACAAGCATTGCATGAATCTGGCGCATTTGGAAGGAGTCTTGAGACCACAGGTGTCCTTCTTGGTTGTTTGGGTAGAAAAATATATGGGTTTCCCTGGTTTCCCGGGTGGTTTAATCATCTACCAGGGAAACCCATCTATTTCCAACCTAAAAGGACACCTATGCTTGAGACCACATGTGCGCGTGACGAGAGAGGGAGGAGGAGGGGGCGAAGACTAAGCCGCCTCAAGGCTCCGATGAAGCTTCCCAGCTTCCCGCCGTTGCCCCAGCTGCTAGGGGTTGTGTCGAACGGGCGGAAACGCAAGCTCCCTATTGGCGAGACCTTCAGCTGCGATAAGACATCCCCAGACTAGAAGATGTGCATTTGTCTTCTTTTTTTTCTTCCGAAGCCAGGACTTCAGGATGTGTTTGACTTCTTGGAAACAGCAAACCCACCGGAAAACAACAATGTCCTTGTTGACGGCTCGTATGTACATTGAGTGTGGGTTTTGGCACTTTTGACCGGGGATTGAACATTTCACTGGCACTTCCTCGAAGATCACGATATATAGCCTGCAATTGTTGGTAGCTGAGTGTGTCTCTCCATTGAGGGCCTCCTTTGGTTTCCCACCAACCAAACAGGGGCACCAACTCAAACAGAGGAGTGCCACAACCAGCTATCAATCTTGACATTTTCACACGGCAAGATAATTCAGTTGGAAGGAATGCTGTGCGGGAGCCGGAGATATGACTCCCCTCCCTCCCCGAGGCACGTGTGCTTTTGGGCCGGGGATGCAAACCCAGTCCGGCGCCGCCCTCCCCAGCTCCGTTTGGGTTGGGTAGATGGTCCCGTGGTCAACAACAAAACAGCCTGGAGCCTGCATGACCCGGCAAACATGGTGTCGCTACCCAAAGTTTTTGCATACACTGCATCGCTTTCAAGGATCATGCAGCTCAGGCGATTTTTTTTTTTGCGGCTTCATTGCGAGCCCTGCTTCCTTAAAAGGCGCATGTTGGCCAGGTGATTGGAAGGTTTCCGGCTTGGTGTTGGCTGCTTTGGGGTTGCCGAGAACAAAAGCCCCTTTTGCGGATGAATGATACTCAGCGTCGCTTGTGAAAGACCGCGAACCAGGGTCCCGAGAAGAGAGGACAAAAAGACCTGCCATTTTGGAAGGGGCCCTTTGTTTTGGAAGTCCTCAAGGTTCAAGACTGCATGCTTTCGGAGAATGTTTCAAGAGAATGGGCATGTTTGTTTTGAGAAGTTCGCACAAGGACCCGCCCCTGTTTTTGGGCACTGATCATTTGGGTCTTCTTTTTTCGGAGTTGGTATTCTTTGTTTGTGAGGCAACCAATCAGCGGGAGCCTGATCTTGGCAGGAAACCAACGGGAGAACCGTAGCGCCATGGGCGCGGCGCATCCGAGGCTGAGCCCCAAAGTTTCTAAGAGCCTCGCCAAAGGCAGGGGCTCGCGCTCACTGCGGGATGAGAAAAGTCCGGTCGGGGGGTTGGGGGCGGGGGGCAATTGATGCCTCAAAACCCACAACACTCCATGCTGTGACAGTCCACCAGTGGTCAAAATTTGGCTGGTTTGGGGCAAGTGAGGCAGGGTCATAACTTTTTTTGGAGCGGGTATGCCATGGTAGGAACTCACTTTCTCCATGCTCTGGTGACCAAATTGCTCTAGGGGGCGCATCCAGGGGCGGTGGCCCCACCAGTGCCTCAACCCGCGTCAGGTTGGCACTTTCACCCGCCCATCTAGGGTGACTCCAAACAAATCCTGGCCGAGGGTTTCTCGGGATCCGGCATGACTTTCCTCCAATCGCGTGAAGGTGTTTCGAGTTGGAGACTTCAAGGGGAGCCGTTCACATGGCCGTGACATGGCCAAACCGGACCCCTCTTTCTCTGCGTTCCACGTAGAGTTTCTGGGAATATGTTGGGGGGTTTGAGGCCACAATCAACATTTCCGTGGAAAACCCAACCAGAAACAACCTCTCCCCTGCATGCACTTCCTTGTCCATCTTTTTCTACAAGGGGGCTTCAGTTTCCAGCTTCCATTTCAGAACCAAAGTTGGAGAATCCTTGGTTACCTACCACTCACTCCTGCGTGCCTGGGCATTCTACCTTTTGAAGAAGACCATTTTAGTGGACAACAACGAGTTTGGACTTTCTTGGTTGATCCACTCGATCGGAAGTGAGGCTACTCCTAGGATTTTGAGGCTACCCTGCTCAGGTTGGCTCAAAGGGGGGGTTCCAAAAGGCGGCAGGAAGCAATTGGGATGGATAGAACCCACCAGTATACATTGGGATAAACCTTAGGCATATGGCGGTGAATTGCAATGGAGAGCCACCTGAAAAAGTGGTGGACCTGAATGGCCACCAAAGGGCCCCTGACCAAAATGCATGCCCATGTTGGGTTTAAGCTGGGCTCTGAGCTCCTTTTCGTCCAGGTCGGGCTCGCCAGGTCTTCTGGATAGGCCAGAGCCAGCCGACCAGCTGAAGGGTCCACGTACGGGTCTCCCGAGTTTGGGGCTAAGCTAGGATTTTTCGAGGTGGGTTAAGCCGAACATTGTTTTCGAAGGCGCCAAAAGAATGTATGAGGGGCAAACCTGACTTCGAACGCCTGAACAGCATTCGTGCATTTGTTGGCCAGTACTGTGGCTGACTTGCCAGCGTTGCATTGCTGAAGCTGGCAAACAGGGCCCATTTTAACTGCCAGAGAGAGACGTGGGTCCATTTGGTGCCGAGGATGGCTGAAATCAGGTCGCCACGTGACGGCTGCGTCAATTCGTGTGATGAAAAGCCATGTTGGAGCGCAAGACCGCAGCGCACGGCTGCTTGCTTCCCTCTCTCTAGAAACTCCAAGCAAAATCCACAGAAGCCAGGGTGAACTCACCATCTGTTGAAGTTTTTTTTTTTTGGAAACTGGTCATTTTGACCCTGCCCGTGAATGGGGCCACAGAGCTGCCTTAGTTTGGATTGAGGATTTAGGCAAATTTGGGGCTGCCGCCTGCGTGGATTCCCCCACCAGAAGTCAAGGTCACACAAGGTCCTTTTATGTCCAAGGTGTAAACTGGGGAGGCAAGTGAGGATTGGCTAGAAGACTAGGTTCCATGCTTGTGGAAGGGGGTTGCAATGCGCAGGTCTAAAAAATCAGCTACAGAAATATGGACACCAACCACACACACACACATTCAAAAACAAGGGTTCAGATCAGTTTCCTGTATTGTTTCCTGCCGGTCTCTTTGAATTTCTTTGTTTGATGGTTTCTTTCTTTCTTTTGGTTGGCCTCCTGACCGGCTGGCTGGCTGCTTGGTGGCTTGACGCGCTCGTAGGCGCGGTGCCGGGCCATGCCCTGGTCGGGAGCTCGGGGAGCGCGCAAAATGCCAAGGAGCCAAGGAGCCGACTGTCGCCATGACCAGGGTACCTCAAAGAGGCACACTCATGAAGGGTCTCTACAAAATTTAATTTTTGGGTCTTGTGTTGGTTGCTTGCCTTTTGGTTTTTCCTTTTGGGTTTTCCTTTGGTTTCGATTTACCCCAAGAAGTCCAGACAGTCATTTCCCTTGGAACCTCTAAAAGCGGGGGTCGTTTCAAGGGAAACCACCAGGAAGTTGATCAGCTCTTTTTTTTTTCTTTTTTTTTTTTTCGTGACCCCTCTATTGCCCAGCTCGGATGAATTTGGAGGACCCTACTAGACCCCGTTTTTTTTTTTTTTTTTCGTCCTTGCCTCTTACTCAAAGGGGGCTTGCCACCCCCTGAACATCGGATTCGGTCCTCCTGGTTCTGAAGTTGACAGCTTTGATGAGGAAATGGTTTTGCCAGTTGCGAAATGGCTTCCAGCTCGCATGTGTCCACAACTTGAGTTTGGTTGTAGGTACTTGAGCTGTAGGTACGGGGTTTTCTAGCACTGTGTCGCAGCTTGGCGGATACTTGATCTCAGGGAAAGTTGACACCCCTGAGCGTGCCGGGTTTGTCCAACATCGAGGAACCCTTGCAAAATTCTACGCTTCCTAATCATTTCCAGAGATCCTTCTTTTCAGGAAACCATCAAAAACCGCAGGGAACAGCTGGTTTCCGAAAAAGAACGATGATTGAAAAGAATGGGGAATAAACCTATAGAGAAAAAATGGATGGTTTCCCTCTGAAAACCCCCACCACAGCTCTTCAATTTTCGAGCTGGTCACATCCATGCGGCAGGGACTTGCTAGGGGCCGGAGTGCAATCGATTCGCCTCACGAGGCTCAGACACTGTGCGCGAAGCTGCTGGCCGGGCCCCGCGTGTCTTGTGAGAAGAAGCGCATTGCCACCCCAGATCCACGCCTTTCCCCCCCAAAAAAGACCCCCCCCCCCCGCCATTTTTTTCGGGGAACGGTGTTCAAACATGGGTGCCTCATGTTGAGAAGCGTCCCCCACACACTATTGCCTGCGATATTTTTCAGAGTCGCGACATGAACTTTGAGATGGCCCACCCGTGTACGTGTATGCGTGTATGTGTGTGTGTGTGTCAAGGGGAACCACAAAACGGGGCTTCAGGGTGCTGAAGCTCGCGGTCGCCAGGCCATCTCGCGAGCGCCCTTGCAGCTTGCGGATGTCCCGCGCCGAGATCAGGGGAGACTTGAGCCGATTCCACGTGCACGACCGTGACCAAACGCATCTCTGAAGGGTATTGGAGTCTCCACGAACGTTCAAAATAGGGACATCGACCAAGCATAAGGAGTTACGGTTCTTTTGTCTGTGATTGCAGCACTTACGCTTGGCACCTTCATTGCTTGCGTGTTTGTGTTTTGCGCTCCTGTTGCTGCTCCTCGAAGAGAGGCTAGTTGCCAGCGTGAGATGCGAAGGGGCATGAAGAGAGAAGCTTGTACAAAGCCTAGTTGGTCCCTGCCCAAGCAGCTGTTGCTTCTCCTTGCCCCCTTTTAAAGCAACTAGCGTGAAACCTCGAGCAGCTAGCAAGCGCTGCATTACTCGAACTTACCACTCGAGCTGCTGACTCGAATCGCCACTCGACCGTATCAGATTCCTTGCATGGGAGTTTACGTGTGTACAAGTATGTATGTATGATGTGTGTGTGTGTGTGTGTTTATGATGAGTGTGTGTGAGTGTGTTCGTGTGGAATGGGTGTATAATATGCGTGTCATATGTGAATATATACATATATATATATATGTATGGCAGAGAGAGCTGTGTGGCAGAGAGAGCTGCGTGATGCGCGCGCGTGTGTGAGAGAGAGGGAGGAGTTGTGTGAGGTTGGTGCATGCGTGTGTGTCTCTGTGACAGTGTATCTGGCTGTTGTTTGTGTGTGTGCGTAACAAATGGCAATGTGTTTCAACAGAAGGCAAGAAATACTATGCACGTGTTTGATCCATTTGCACATATTGACATTCAGGGTTCCACGGTGGATATTGGCCGTTCGCAACTTCCGCAGCAACTGCTTCACCAGGGACTCGCGAGTGTCTCTGCTGCCACCCCCTGCTGCGCTTAAACATAAATGGTCTCTGGGTTGCTCAGAGACTCCGCACACACACGCACACACATGCACACACGCACACACACACAGACAAACACAAATACACAAACGCAGACACAAACACAAACACAAACACACAAACACACACACACAAACACACAAACACACACACAACCAATCACACACACACACACAAACGCACACACACACAAACACACACACACAAACGCACACACACACACACACACACAACTGAACACACACACACGCGCGCGCAGGCGCGCGACACGCACTTATGACACAGTTGACGTGGACACATCATACATACACAGATCGCGCAGTGCGCGCAGTTATCACGCATATTCACACCCACATCACGTACACACACCCACACACCCACGCACACACGCACGCACGCGCACACACACACACAAACACACGCACAAACACACCCACACTCACACCCACACCCACACGCGCACCCACACGCGCACGAGCACGCGCACGCGCACGCGCACGTGCACACGCACGCGCACGCGCACACGCACGCGCACGCGCACACGCACGCGCACAAGCACACGCACGCGCACACGCTCGCACACGCACAGGCGCAGGCACACGCACACGCACACAAACACACCCACACCTACACCCACACCCACACCCACAACCGCACGCGCACGCGCACGCACGCGCACGCGCACGCGCACGCGCACGCGCGCGCACGCGCACAGCGCGCGCACGCGCACGCGCACATGGCGTTGCTGCGCGCAAGCGCACGCACACGCGCACGTCACGACTTGCGCCTTGCCCGCACGCTCACGCGCACCCTGCGCGCTGTGCGCATCTTGCCTTGCACCTACACTGCACTTGCACGCGCGCACTGTCTGCTTCTTAGGCTGCAAGCCTGCAAGCGCCTGCCTGGTTCCTGGACGCAGGACCTGGACCTGGGTTGGATCACAGTCCTGGACTGCTGGACAGTCACGGATCTGGGTCAGGACACTGCACTTGCACACACGCACGCACGCACGCACACACACGCACACGTACACCACACACACACACACACACATGGCACCAGCTGCTGCAAACACCTGCTGACACAGACACAGACACAGTCACTCACAGACACAGACACAGTCACACACACGATCAGACACACACACACACACACACATGCACACGCACACACACACACACATACACACACACACACACGCACACACACCCACACAAAAAAACACACACACACACACACACACACACACACACACACACACACACACACACACACACACACACACACACACACACACACACACACACACACACACACACACACACACACACACACACACACACACACACACACACACACACACACACACACACACACACACACACACACACACGCACACACACACACCACTGCACACACACACACACACACACTGCCACACGTTGCACACACACCACAATATACTCACGCCTGCCTGCCGCACGCACGCTTGCACGCCTTGCACTTGCCTTCCTGCCTGCCTTGCCTGCGCCTGCCTCCTGCCTGCCTGCCTTGCATTGCACGCTTACGCACGCCTGAGCCCACCTGAGCCTACGCACGCTTACTGCAGCACGCCCAACGCATACACATGAACATGCATACGCTTGCACTGCAATGCGCATGCCATGCCTGCCGCTGCTTATCAGCAGCGCATCGTTTGCTCACGCTGTGCCGCTGCACAGCACGCACGCGCACGCACGCAGCGCACACGCATACGCGCACGCGCTGCATCCACATGCCGCCGCATCGCGCCACGCCGCATGCGCATGTGCACATGTCCCGCAACCCACGTCGCAACGTCGCATGCACGCCCGCACGCGCATGCCCGCGCCCACCGCACGCCCGCACCCGCAGCCCGCGCCCGCCGCCCGACCCGCGCCCGCGCCACGCACGCGCCGCGCGCCCGCCGCCGCCGCGCGCGCCACACGCCCACGCGCGCTTGCCGCTCGCCGCCCGCACCGGCGCACGCCCGCGGCGCGCCGCGCCCGCAGCCGCGCGCACGCGCTCGCCGCCCGCCCGCGCCGCGCGCCCCGCGCGCGCGCCCGTCCGCGCGCCCGCGCGCCCGCGTCTTCCCGCATGCCCGCGGCCCGCGCCCCCGCGCGCAAACCGCGATCGCCGCCGCTTCCGCGCGCGCGGGGCGCCACGCGCTTGCTTGCGCGTAACGCGCCCCCGCCTTCACACGCCCGCGCGCGCCCGCGCCCCGCGCCGCGCCGCGCCCGCGCTACGACCGCGCCCGCGCCGCTCGCGCCGCGCCCGCGCCACGCGCCCGCGCCACGCGCCGCCCGCGCCGGCGCCCGCGCCCATGCGCGCCCGCGCCGCGCCCGCGCCGCGCCCGCGCCCGCGCCGCCCGCGCCGCCGCGGCCGGCGCCCGCGCCGCGCCCGCGCCGCCGCGCCGCGCCCGCCGCGCCGCGCCGCGCCGCGCCCGCGCCGCGCGCGCCGCGCGCGCGCACGCGCGCACGCGCACGCACGCGCGCGCGCGCACACGCGCACACGCACGCACACGCGCACGCACACGCACGCACATCGCACCGAACGCCTGCGCTGCGCACGCACGCACACGCACGCACACGCACACGCACACACACGCACACGCACCATGATAAAGCGGCCTGCGCCTGCCCCCTGCTTGTACTGCCTGCCTGCCTTCTGCCTTGCCTTTGCAACCTGCCTTGCGCGCTACCGCCTGCAGCCTCTTGTGCCTGCACATGCACGCTGCACACGTTCGGGAGGACGCACACGCGCACACGCGACGCGCGCACGCGCAACGCGCACGCGCGCACGCTGAAGCACACGCGCACACGCGCACACGCGCACACCTGCCTGCGCACACGCGCACACGCCACACGCGCACACGCGCACGCGCGCACGCGCACACGCGCACACGCGCATGCGCACGCGCCACACTGTGGCGCGCACACGCTGCACGCGTACCCACGCAGCCCACGCGCCCAGCGCCCACGCGCCCACGCCACAGCCCACGCGCCCACGCGCGCAGCACGGCGCTGGTGCCGCGCACACGCTGCGGCGCGCAGGCGCACCCGCGCGCACGCGCGCGCGCGCGCGCGCGCTCACGCGCACGCGCGCGCACGCGCCACGCGCTCACCATTTCTCCCACCGCCTGCCTGCGCCCCGCCGCCGCGCCACCCAGGTATGCGCACGCACTGCGCGCCGCAAGCATGCGCCGATGCAGATGCAAATGCAGTTGCAGACGTAGACCGGCAAGCAGACACAGACACACGCACACACACACACACAAACATGGCACACACAGACACACAACACAGACTGATCGAGCAACCTCTATTTGAATGGAGCTCTGGCAAAACGCTGCAAGGTGGTACTTACGATTGCTGCTCTCCTCAGCGCAGACGCGGCCTAAGAATGCCACGGGGCTGGGATGAGATGCATAGCACCGGTGATGAAAGTCTGAACATGGGGTTGCTTCCTAGGTGATGACTTTGATTGGCCTTAGGGTACTTTGAGCGCGTGATATGTGGCCTGTCTTTGTTGGAGCCGGAACCCTTCATGGGTTTGCTTTGAATGAAAACCATACGGAGCACCACCATGGTTTTGTCAGAGGAAGGCGGGGGCTTCAGAATTTTAACTCCTTCATGTAGATCAGTCACAGCGCAACCCCCAAAAAGGAACGCGCAGCACTTTTGAACCGAGACCGAGTCCGAGAGAGTGGCTAAAACTCCCACAACCGAAGGCAGGCAGCGCTACAAACACAGCCCCACACCTGGGTCTGTTTGCCTGGGAAACCCACACTTCTGTGCAGCTAGAGCTCTTCACTGCAATTTTTGCCTTGGATGAGTCATGTCAGATGGATCAGGGTTTGGAGTCATCCCACGGGATTTGGACTCATCCCACTTTCCAAACCACTTTATGGGAAGTACGGAAAAAGAAGCCCCGCAACTCCCAAGCCAACTCACATTTCAAGCCCACACCCCCCCTGGCAACGCCGCCGACGGCTGCCGGTTTCACAACCCGTCAGGACCGGTTCTTTCCTTTCTGGCTATGAACGGGGTCCAAGCATCCGAAGGCTGCCGCATATATTAGTGTGTCTTTTTAGGGGTCCCCCCCCAAAAATGGGTAGTTTCCTAAAACCACCAACAAATGGGTACCCTCAAAAAAGACATGCTTTTTGGCACTCTTGCTTGGTGTGGCTGGTTTCTTGGCAAGCGTTCTCCAGCCACGAGGTGTGCGCGGTTTGCGCAGTGTCCAAGCTGGTGGATCTCGGCTGGATCGACCGGGAGGCCTGTGGCCTGCTTCCGCCTTCCCTGAAGAGCGTGGCCATAGGGAGGAGCCCAATCACCTGAGGCGGTAAACCATATCCTGCAAAGAGCATGCAAACATAAGGAACAACCACGAAGACTGTTTTGTTGAGTGATAAATCATCACCTGCTTGCTGAAAGTGGGAGGAGCCTCCAGATGGCATGCACGGGAGAAATGGCCTATGCCCCGCACAGGTTTTTCTGCCATTTTGGGCGAGGCTGCGCCGCTAGTTTGATGAGGACCAAAAGAACAGTCCAAAGTCAAGGCATTCGGCAGTTCTTTCCGCACGCCCTTGCCCGCACGCCCTTGCCCACGTTTGGCTAGCAGCAGTTCAGTCCGTTTCGCCCCACATGGCGTGACAGCCTCCCGGCTCCCGCGCCTTCGTCTTGCGCTGTCCGCGCGGGGAACCTCGCGCGCCACCCGCGGCGATGGCAGAGCCGGAGGCGGAGGCAGAGGCCGCCGCCGCCGTGGCGGCCACGGCGGCGGCGGCGGCGGCGGGGACGAGCCCAGGGATGGCGATGCCGTCGATGGGCGCCGTTCCGGGCATGGACCCCGCGCAGTACTCTGCCTGGCTGCAAGCGCTGCAAGCGCAGCAGGCGGGGATGACCCAAATGTGGCGTTCAAATGCGTATGGGTCAAAATGAAACCACAGGGACCGCAGGTTTTAGTCCTTGGTTTCAGCTACCAGGTTCCATTTTGGGTACCTATTTTTGACCCACAGCCAAACGGCTGGGCCATGGGATGCTTGTGACTGGTCTGGTTGCGAGTGTTGGGACAGAATGGAAGCCCTGAGCTGAGTTCAGAGGGCATGTGAGTTTCCGCTTTTGGGAAGGTGGTGGCGCAGCAGATGTACCTGCAGCAGCTGGCAGGGTCGGGGCTGCGCCTTGGCTGATTTGCGATGCATCTTGACCAAGTGGTGGTTTGGAGTTTGGTTTTTGATCCGAGCCCCTGCCTCTTGAGGGTCAAAACAAACGCTTCCCCCTTGTCACAGGCTCCACCACAGAAAGGGAACCTGGAGCCCCAAGCCAACTTCTCATGTCCCATCCCCAATCTGAGCCCAAAGCCATGGCCACCCCAGGCTTTTTGAAGGCCACTGAACCCGTGTGACCATCAAGCTCCTCCTCCACTCCCCCCCAAAAAAAAGAGACAACAACCACAAACAACAAAAACATGAAAAGTCCTTGGGCCCCATAATACCTCCGCCTCCGGCCCCCGCCATCCCCCCAAGGCCCCCCGGGCCCCTCCCGAGGATCGCGGTGCCACAAGGTGTCCCTGGCCTTCAAGCCCTGCCAGGCGCTACCGGCCTGGCAGGTCCTGGCGTGGTTTTCGGGCTCCGAGATGGTGGGCTTTTTACCTGGTGGCTTTCCTCAAAACACCAACCAAGAGATGCTAGCATGGCCCGGCATGGAGAAAAGAGACTCGCATCTGGTCAGGGAAACAAGTTTCAACAGGTAAGAAGGTTCCAATCGCTTGCAAGGACAATATCACGTGTGTAAGGCTCCGAAAGGAGCCTTTTTTGTTAGAACAAATAGGGGTCACCTCAATTTTTTGTGGGCCGTTTCGCATGCGAGGAATGGGCATTGAGCATGCCACCCCGCGCTTAGTAGTGGCCAGTTCTATTGTCTTTGGGACGGGTGGCTTGGTGGGGTTTAAAGCCTTGAGCTTCGGAGGCATAGGCGTCTTTTTTTGTTGTTTTGGTCGAACAATCGATGGGTTTCCGTGGCTTACCTGGTTTAAATTCATCTATGAGGGAAACCCATCTATTTCCATCCTGAAAGGACACCTATGTTTGGCATCTTGAGCTTGCCGGCACGGAGTGGCCATCGTATCTCGGTGAAGGTCAGGGCTGTTTATTCTGGGGGTTGATTCCTTTTCCATTCTTTCCAGCCATCGTTCTTTTCAAAAACCGATCGCCATTTCCCAAGGGTTTTGGGTGGTTTTCTAGAAAGAAGGATCCCCAGAAAGATTGGGGAAGTTACCCCTAGATTTATGGCAATCCTCATAGCCTTTGACATCTCTGAAGGAAACCAAACGGGGTCCAACTTAGCTTTGACACAAGCCCGCGTGCTTACTCGGGGGCGCACACACACACACACAGCTAGAGACTCCTAGAGAAGCCATTCATTATCAAATATCTACCTTATACAACATGACATTGACAAGAAATACTCCCTTCCCCTTTTGCCAACAAGGGGCCTTTCCAGATTACAACAAAAACATGCGGTTTTCCTGGGAGGGGGGGGGGGGGGAAACAGCATTTATCAGAAACACCTAGTCTTATGATTCTGCAAAACCCGCGGAGCCGTAGGTTGGCTTCAGACCTTCGCGGTGCCACCGAAGACGAACACAAACCACAGAGCAAAGAGTCTTACACGGGGGGGATCCCCATGGATCCACTTCCTTTTGGTTTTTCATGCCCCCCGCTTTTCATTTTCTAGGGGAGCCCCAGAAATGGGTTTTGAGTATTTCCTAGTGGGTTTCCCTTTCAAACCTATCAAAAAGGGGTACTAGCTCTAAACAAAAAAACACACACCGAGGCTTTTCTAGGCGCCGAAAGTGTGACGAAGAGTTGCCAAAGCCTTTTCGCCCTCAAACCAAACCAAAAATCCAATGCCTATCCCACAAAGTTGTCATCCTTCTCACGACCTGCAAGGGCGGAGAAGCATGACCGACACCCCCAAAGGGTCCAAATGCCTTGTAAGGATGCACTTAAGGGGTCCTATGATTTCAACAAGGTACCAAGGCTTTTTCGAGGCCTCGGGAAAACGACTTTGTCAGCAAGGTACCAAGAGCCTGGAGGAAACAAGAAAGCAAGCCCCCAGCTGTTTGTTTGAAGGGAGCCGAAAAGAGAGCTGGGTCTTCAAGTCGGCTTCTTTTAACCGGGAGAGGAGGTCGCTCGGGGTTTCCCGTTTCCCTCGCCGCGTGAGGCGTCGCAGGTGTCGCAGGTGTCCCGGGTGTGGCGAGTGTCGCGGGGCTCCCCGGCCTGCTCCGAGCCCAGCCTGCCCCAGCTCCGCGAGTGGAGGGCCCCACGCGCCCTGACCGAGACGTGGCGTCGGGACTGGTCCGGCGGGGGTGGCAGAGAAAACATGGCTGGTGGTTTCCAGTCTTTAAAGTTCCCCCCCCCCCCCCTCAAAGTAAAAGGTGCTTTTCGGATGGTGGCGTCCCTTTGAACTAATGAGAAGAAGGGTACTTCGAAAGAAATGACGGTCATGACCATGGGAACATGTTGTTAGTACTTGCTCAGTCCCTTGTATCATGTCCTTTTTTGTGCTGGGTGGGTACATGCTTGGCTGGCTGACAGATCCAAGGTTCCACTTCAAACATGGCTTCTGGGAATTTGGTGCCGCCAGTTGTGTTGGTTGACATCAAAACAATTGGCGGTGCTTTGCAAGTCCCCCACTTGCGAGGTAGGTGCCGATGAAAAATAAGAATGGCAGGTCCAGGGGCTTCCGACCGTCAGGATCCGAGCTTCTTAATTTTTTCCCCTACAGTGCCACTGTGGATGGACGGAATCCGATTCGCACCACCGTTCAGAAACGCAGGAATGATGGTTCAATGGGTTCAACCATGGTTTCAAAGTGGTGCGAACGGATTTCGTCCATCCACAGTATTACAACGGATTGCGCTGGCCAGTGTTTTTGCCACCAGACCGAGCCAGCTCCAACTTGGAGGTGGCCGGCTTTCCATTTGGGGCGGTGGGTCACAATTTGTTTCTTCTCTGGTACCCTTTGTGTTTGGTTGGCTTTATCCAAGGGCCACCAAAGGACAGTCACTACCAGTTTTGGAGGTTTCAGAGTTTTGAGCGAAGTTGCCATGTTTGACGTTCTCTTTTGTTGGCTTCATCGGGAATGCAGCTCCGGGTTTCTTGTGAGGTACACGGGGCAGGTGGTGGACTACAATGAGGACACTTTGGGAGTTGCCGGGGTCTGGGGTTCTGGGGCCCCTGGCAGTTGGTTGAATTTGTATGCGCCTAACATATTTTTAAGCAGCTGCGGTTATGCAGGTTTTGCTTCAAATCTGCACTTGCCAGTGTTCCAAATCTTGGGTACTGGCTTTTGAGCCACAGCGATGTGGGCGCGGTGCTTAGAAGCACAAAATGCCTGGAGTCTAAGCTCCGAACGTCGAATGAACGGCCGGAAAGCACTGCCAGGGAACGTTGAGCTCATCGGCTTGCGGTGGCACAGGGATCCAAGGAGGAAAGGTTGTGGCTTGAGCTGTTCTATTTGAGCCACCTCAAAAACTTGTTACATGCTCACTTGGGTGTTTCTCTTTTTTTGTTTTGTCTCTCCCAAAAGGAGTTCCCAGATATTTCGTGGGCTTCCTGAAGCAAGAAGCAGGCTGATGAAGCGGACGTTCTTTTTGGGGAACCCCGTTCATTTGGTGGGTTTAAAGGGAGAACCAACTGGACAACTTCCAGCCTTAAAACAGACGCACCCATTCGGACAATTCTGTGACAGCAACTGTTCAGCTGATCTGGGCTCTTTGCCGACAATTGCGATGTGGCTGGCACTTTTGAACCGCTCTCCGATCGCGCAGGACAAGGGTTTTGGCTTCATAGAGTGCAACGACACGCAGGAGATTTATGGCGACTTGGATCGTTTCAAGGTGAACGAGTTGCGAACAAGAGGAGACCGGGTCCCGGATCGATCTAAGCAGAACCCAACCTGGTTGATTTTATGTCCAAGGCTTTATCTATTTGTTTGTTTTGTTTCTTTTTTGGAGGGGGTGTTCAGATGGAGGGGTTTTCACACCCGATTGATAGGACGGGTTTGTTAATCCGGGGTCAACATCAATGCGTCTTTGGTCAGAAGCTTGGACACCATGCCCCAAAAAGGGCCAGAAACCAGCCGTTTCGCCAATAAGCCCTTCCGGTTCAGAAAGCTTTAGATTGGCGCCAGTGCACAAACCAAACTGCGGAGTCTTCGCATGTCGCATATGTCTCTGCGCTCGGACTAGAGACATTGGCAGTTGGGTAACCAAT